AAAACGACAGTGGTACCCCTTACGTTTTTTTTTTTGGGCGAAAAATTAAGTTTCTCCAATCTTCCCAAAACTCTGGATTCTGATAGAGGGCCATGAGACTTAGACCTGAGTGCAAAAATGGAGGCTCTAGCCCCTTCCAGAGCTGAGATATCGAAACTCAAAAATTCGGCCCGAAAAAAAAACGACAGTGGTACCCCTTACGTTTTTTTTTTTGGGCGAAAAATTAAGTTTCTCCAATCTTCCCAAAACTCTGGATTCTGATAGAGGGCCATGAGACTTAGACCTGAGTGCAAAAATGGAGGCTCTAGCCCCTTCCAGAGCTGAGATATCGAAACTCAAAAATTCGGCCCGAAAAAAAAACGACAGTGGTACCCCTTACGTTTTTTTTTTTGGGCGAAAAATTAAGTTTCTCCAATCTTCCCAAAACTCTGGATTCTGATAGAGGGCCATGAGACTTAGACCTGAGTGCAAAAATGGAGGCTCTAGCCCCTTCCAGAGCTGAGATATCGAAACTCAAAAATTCGGCCCGAAAAAAAAAACGACAGTGGTACCCCTTACGTTTTTTTTTTTTGGGCGAAAAATTAAGTTTCTCCAATCTTCCCAAAACTCTGGATTCTGATAGAGGGCCATGAGACTTAGACCTGAGTGCAAAAATGGAGGCTCTAGCCCCTTCCAGAGCTGAGATATCGAAACTCAAAAATTCGGCCCGAAAAAAAAACGACAGTGGTACCCCTTACGTTTTTTTTTTTTGGGCGAAAAATTAAGTTTCTCCAATCTTCCCAAAACTCTGGATTCTGATAGAGGGCCATGAGACTTAGACCTGAGTGCAAAAATGGAGGCTCTAGCCCCTTCCAGAGCTGAGATATCGAAACTCAAAAATTCGGCCCGAAAAAAAAACGACAGTGGTACCCCTTACGTTTTTTTTTTTGGGCGAAAAATTAAGTTTCTCCAATCTTCCCAAAACTCTGGATTCTGATAGAGGGCCATGAGACTTAGACCTGAGTGCAAAAATGGAGGCTCTAGCCCCTTCCAGAGCTGAGATATCGAAACTCAAAAATTCGGCCCGAAAAAAAAACGACAGTGGTACCCCTTACGTTTTTTTTTTTGGGCGAAAAATTAAGTTTCTCCAATCTTCCCAAAACTCTGGATTCTGATAGAGGGCCATGAGACTTAGACCTGAGTGCAAAAATGGAGGCTCTAGCCCCTTCCAGAGCTGAGATATCGAAACTCAAAAATTCGGCCCGAAAAAAAAAACGACAGTGGTACCCCTTACGTTTTTTTTTTTGGGCGAAAAATTAAGTTTCTCCAATCTTCCCAAAACTCTGGATTCTGATAGAGGGCCATGAGACTTAGACCTGAGTGCAAAAATGGAGGCTCTAGCCCCTTCCAGAGCTGAGATATCGAAACTCAAAAATTCGGCCCGAAAAAAAAAACGACAGTGGTACCCCTTACGTTTTTTTTTTTTGGGCGAAAAATTAAGTTTCTCCAATCTTCCCAAAACTCTGGATTCTGATAGAGGGCCATGAGACTTAGACCTGAGTGCAAAAATGGAGGCTCTAGCCCCTTCCAGAGCTGAGATATCGAAACTCAAAAATTCGGCCCGAAAAAAAAACGACAGTGGTACCCCTTACGTTTTTTTTTTTGGGCGAAAAATTAAGTTTCTCCAATCTTCCCAAAACTCTGGATTCTGATAGAGGGCCATGAGACTTAGACCTGAGTGCAAAAATGGAGGCTCTAGCCCCTTCCAGAGCTGAGATATCGAAACTCAAAAATTCGGCCCGAAAAAAAAACGACAGTGGTACCCCTTACGTTTTTTTTTTTGGGCGAAAAATTAAGTTTCTCCAATCTTCCCAAAACTCTGGATTCTGATAGAGGGCCATGAGACTTAGACCTGAGTGCAAAAATGGAGGCTCTAGCCCCTTCCAGAGCTGAGATATCGAAACTCAAAAATTCGGCCCGAAAAAAAAAACGACAGTGGTACCCCTTACGTTTTTTTTTTGGGCGAAAAATTAAGTTTCTCCAATCTTCCCAAAACTCTGGATTCTGATAGAGGGCCATGAGACTTAGACCTGAGTGCAAAAATGGAGGCTCTAGCCCCTTCCAGAGCTGAGATTGGGCGAAAAATTAAGTTTCTCCAATCTTCCCAAAACTCTGGATTCTGATAGAGGGCCATGAGACTTAGACCTGAGTGCAAAAATGGAGGCTCTAGCCCCTTCCAGAGCTGAGATATCGAAACTCAAAAATTCGGCCCGAAAAAAAAAACGACAGTGGTACCCCTTACGTTTTTTTTTTGGGGCGAAAAATTAAGTTTCTCCAATCTTCCCAAAACTCTGGATTCTGATAGAGGGCCATGAGACTTAGACCTGAGTGCAAAAATGGAGGCTCTAGCCCCTTCCAGAGCTGAGATATCGAAACTCAAAAATTCGGCCCGAAAAAAAAAACGACAGTGGTACCCCTTACGTTTTTTTTTTTTGGGCGAAAAATTAAGTTTCTCCAATCTTCCCAAAACTCTGGATTCTGATAGAGGGCCATGAGACTTAGACCTGAGTGCAAAAATGGAGGCTCTAGCCCCTTCCAGAGCTGAGATATCGAAACTCAAAAATTCGGCCCGAAAAAAAAACGACAGTGGTACCCCTTACGTTTTTTTTTTTTGGGCGAAAAATTAAGTTTCTCCAATCTTCCCAAAACTCTGGATTCTGATAGAGGGCCATGAGACTTAGACCTGAGTGCAAAAATGGAGGCTCTAGCCCCTTCCAGAGCTGAGATATCGAAACTCAAAAATTCGGCCCGAAAAAAAAACGACAGTGGTACCCCTTACGTTTTTTTTTTTTGGGCGAAAAATTAAGTTTCTCCAATCTTCCCAAAACTCTGGATTCTGATAGAGGGCCATGAGACTTAGACCTGAGTGCAAAAATGGAGGCTCTAGCCCCTTCCAGAGCTGAGATATCGAAACTCAAAAATTCGGCCCGAAAAAAAAACGACAGTGGTACCCCTTACGTTTTTTTTTTTTGGGCGAAAAATTAAGTTTCTCCAATCTTCCCAAAACTCTGGATTCTGATAGAGGGCCATGAGACTTAGACCTGAGTGCAAAAATGGAGGCTCTAGCCCCTTCCAGAGCTGAGATATCGAAACTCAAAAATTCGGCCCGAAAAAAAAAACGACAGTGGTACCCCTTACGTTTTTTTTTTTTGGGCGAAAAATTAAGTTTCTCCAATCTTCCCAAAACTCTGGATTCTGATAGAGGGCCATGAGACTTAGACCTGAGTGCAAAAATGGAGGCTCTAGCCCCTTCCAGAGCTGAGATATCGAAACTCAAAAATTCGGCCCGAAAAAAAAACGACAGTGGTACCCCTTACGTTTTTTTTTTTTGGGCGAAAAATTAAGTTTCTCCAATCTTCCCAAAACTCTGGATTCTGATAGAGGGCCATGAGACTTAGACCTGAGTGCAAAAATGGAGGCTCTAGCCCCTTCCAGAGCTGAGATATCGAAACTCAAAAATTCGGCCCGAAAAAAAACGACAGTGGTACCCCTTACGTTTTTTTTTTTTCGGGTGAAAAATTAAGTTTCTTTAATCTTCCCAAAACTCTGGATTCTGATAGAGGGCCACCTGAGTGCAAAAATGGAGGCTCTAGCCCCTTCCAGTGCTGAGATATCGAAACTCTAAAATTCGGCCCGAAAAAAAAAACGACAGTGGTACCCCTTACGTTTTTTTTTTTCGGGCGAAAAATTAAGTTTCTCCAATCTTCTCAAAACTCTGGATTCTGATAGAGAGCCATGAGACTTAGACCTGAGTGCAAAAATGGAGGCTCTAGCCCCTTCCAGTGCTGAGATATCGAAACTGTAAAATTCGGCCCGAAAAAAAAAAACGACAGTGCGTGGTACCCCTTACGTTTTGTTTTTTTTCGGGCGAAAAATTAAGTTTCTCCAATCTTCTCAAAACTCTGGATTCTGATAGAGGGCCATTGGACTTAGACCTGAGTGCAAAACTGGAGGCTCTAGATCCTACCAGAGCTGAGATATTTATAATGGCATAAATGCTACGTGGGATCTCAATATCTCAGCTCTGGAAGGGTCTAGAGCCTCCATTTTTGCACTCAGGTCTAAGTCTCATGGCCCTCTATCAGAATCCAGAGGTTGAAACTCTGGATAAATATTCAACAGCTTAAATATTCACAGTTTAAATATTCAAACATGTTGAATTTCAGCCCATAAAATGCAAGCCTTAAAAATACAATGGATTAAAATGCAAGCATGGTTAACGCAATGCATTTTTTTTTTCAATTGGTGCTATTCAATATGCTTTTTGTTTCAAAAACATTTGACATTATTTTACTTCCATACATATGCCTATATACTAATCAGGGATTCGAGCTGAATGTCTCAGTAGATGCTTAGGAGTAGTACACAAGATGTGTTGTGGAGAAATATAATGTAAAGTACTGCAATACAAGCAGTTTCTCATGATGATAAATGGTTTGAACTGCCATTGAAAGATGGGGGTAAGTACAGTTGTTTTAAAATGTTTTTGAAAGAAGCCTTTTGTGCTCACCAAGGCATTTATTTGATCGAAAATATAGGGAAAAAATTAAATATTACAATTTAAAACAACCATTATCTATTTTAATGTACGTTCAAATGAAATTTATTCCTGTGACAGCAAATCTGAATTTTCAGCATCAGTATTCAGTATCACTTGATCATGATTCTAATATGCTGATTTGCTGCTCAAGAAACACTTCCTATCATCAGAGCTGAAAACAATTGTAATGCCTAATATTTTATTTATACTTTTTAATGAGTAGAATTTTTTTTGTAACAATGTATTCACTGACTTTATCAATTTAATGCATCCTTGCAGAATAAATGTATGTTCTCTTTTTTAACTAACTGATCCTAAACTTTTGAACAATAGTATAAATAGAGACAAACATATTTTTTTTTTCAAGAAATAGAATTCAAACATCAATACTCAAAAGAATGTAAAATACAGACAAACTGAATATTTGGATGTGACATGTTTATTGTTCATTGTGTCCACCCGCAGCTGAACCTCTGGCTGCTCACTGACAAAAACCAAAGGGTATCTAGGCATGTGTTGGCATCAAATCTGCTCTTTCAACATGGAGTTTGGAGTCAGACTATCATTAAAACACAGAACACCAAAAACCATGTGGCATGTGGCAGCAGGCAACCAAAAGGAACACAGTAAGGTGAAAAACAACAATACCATGGTTCATGACAAACTATTTATAAAGTGCAAAAAAAATATTAATTAACACAACATTACTCTCAATTGTAAGTACTAGAGCACCAGAATTAAAATGAGGCCACATGCAACTCTGTGACGTTATCACTTAGCTCTTAAAGTATACCAGTCAGTACTAATAATTTAACAACCTGAACTTTTCCCCATTCACAGCATTAGTAGAATTACAGTAAGTGAGATGAGGTGGATTGTAACAAGGGAGAACTCTATTTTGATCAAACTTTAGACAACATTTGAAGAGTTCAGATGCAAAAGCCTCTAAGTGCCATTTGAAATGTTCTTCTAAAATGATCATTTTTATCAAGCTTGTATATTTAAGTTCAGTAATTTCACTTAAATGGCAATGAAGATTACCTATTAATTGTCATTTAAGTGAAATTACTGAACTTAAATATGCAAGCTAGATAAAAATGGTCATTTTAGAAGAAAATTTCAAATGGCATTTAGAGGCTTTTGCATCTGAACTTCATTTACTCTTCTACCACAATCTTCTTAGCGGCTTCCAATACAGACTCTAAGCTGACTTTATCTCCAAACTCCTTTTCTCTGTGCTCTAGGAGAACCCCCTGAAAGTGGGGAAAAAAACAGATGCATGAGGACAGTCAAGTTGATAAATCTCTGAATTGGTTTGTAATGATTTAATGGAACATCTAATATAATATATATTACCTGTTCGCCAGATCCGATGACAAACACCCCTCCCAGGATGAAACCTTCTCCATTCATGTTGCCCTGGTATCCCGACCTCCAGGCCCTTATAAAATTTTGCCAAACTCCCAAGCGAATGAAACCAAGCCCACCCATCTTCCTCTGTTGTGGCCCATAAAATGCTTGCTGTGCACAAATAAGACACCCAGGCAAAACAATGTATGAATGAATAAAGAATTACTGGTAGTTTTGTGCATTATTCAGTAAAGCTTTTCATGCAAGCACATTTGATCTTCCATTTAACATGTTTGATGTGTGCAATATATGTGTGTTGATCAATGTTTATATATGATTAAAAGTGTCAATTAAAGCTGTTCATCATATTAAGTGATTGTGTCTCTTCAGAAGACTTGGATTTAACTACTTGGTTCATATGGATCCTTTTACAAACTTTTTGAAGCAACAAAATTTTGGTTGTGTGGACATTCAGTAGAGGCACAAAAATCTCTCAGGTTACACCAAAAAATTAAATATATGAACCAAAGATGAACAGGAGTCTTAAAGGAGTAGTTCACTTTTGAAAAAAACTTTTGCTGATAATTTACTCACCCCCATGTCATCCAAGATGTCAATGTCATTCTTTCTTCAGTCGAAAAGAAATTAAGGTTTTTGATGAAAACATTCCAGCATTTTTCTCCATATAATGGACTTCAATGGGAACCAATTGGTCCCAAAGGTTCAAGGTCCAAAAGACAGTTTCAGCATAAACTGCAAACTGTTCAAAGGGCTTTAAACAATTCCAGACGATGAATAAGGGTCTTATCAAGCGAAACGATCACTCATTTAAAAAAAAAAAAACAAAGTTTAAGTTTTATAAGCTCAAATCCTCGCCTTGCTCTGTTCTGTGATGCGCGTTTGTGACTCTCCTGTTCGAACTCGTTTATCAAAATGAACTTATCTTTTTTCGTGTCATTTGGTTCATTCAACGAACGAAATGAACGAATTGACTCAGAAAAAGATTCGTTCATTTTGATGAACGAGTTCGAACAGGAGAGTCACAAACACGCATCACAGAACAGAGAAAGGCAACAAAATTTTTTAAGCAAAAGTTTTTTTTAAAAGTGAAACTACTCCTTTAAGAACAACAAAAGTGTAAATGATTTTCATTTTTGGGTGAACTGTCCCTTTAATGTTTACTGACCTTTTCATCCAAGAAAATTTCCCCTGCGAACTGAGGCCTGAAGGCTTGAATCTCCGTACCTACATTCTCCTTCACAACGGCATACAGAGGGACCCCAAGCTTATCCAGCTGGGGCTTCAGAGAGGACAGCTCAGAGGCCTCCTGCAGATACACAATCACATATTAATCTATTAAATGTATAGACTCAGTGTTTTCCATTAATTTCCCACCATAGTTAAATAATGAACTGAAAACATTTGTAAACTTTATTATGAGGAACCCACTGATCACTTTACCTCTCTGCACAAAAATCATCCAGGTCGCCGGACAGCCATGATCACTGCACCAGATCTCTCCCAGAGAACTTTCGCTTTTAAAGTCCTCTCATCTGAACGGATAAAGGTGGAAAAACATTACAATAAATATAGTGACTGCTTTTCTTATTTATGACAGCAATTGGCCAAAATGTAATTTCACTTCCACTGGATTCAGTTTATTTCTTACCACTGTCGATGGTTTTGAGGTCAGCATTCCCAAGATACTCTACAGTAGCAGGTGCCGGTTTAGTCAGCAGGAAGTCGGTGTTTGCAAATATTAAGCCGGCGATGGCGGCCCCCACAGCTCCAAGACCTAGTGACCACATGCCCATGGCAAGAGTCTCACCCTCCAGGATGGATGACGACACTGTAGTGAAAATATATTCAGTATGGTAGGTTACAAACATTAGCTGAATCCCAATTCAGAGGCTGCATCCTTCGAAGGATGCGCACTTCAAAGGCCATGTCGGACAGAGCGTTGTTAAATGGGACAGTCTAGCCGGCAGAGGATTGTTCTTGTCGCCGAGCAACTGGGACAGCTGGCGTTAATGAGTGGCATTAACGTTTGTGCTTCACAAACTGTCTAAATATGTTCACCATGGTCCATTCCTGTATATAATAAAGAGTATAAACTATATGATCGCATTTTAGTGAGATGTCAACATCTGAACCGATTTAAAGTGATTTGGCAATATCTCTCAAAAAATCCTGTTGTCATTGGCACACAATGAATTCTGGGGTAGGCAAGGCCGTGAAGGATCCATCTTTTCTATCCTTCATTGTACGGGAAAAGGAGGAAGCATTTGAAGTTTGAGTCTTCAAATCGGGACAGCCTTCGTCACGCCTGTGACACAATCAGCCTTTGAATGCGGCCTTCGAAGGATGCCGCCTCTGAATTGGTATGCAGTTATTGTTTCAATTACAAAAAGTAATTTGTTGAAGCTATATTATTATATATGAGCGTGAGCACCCCATTTGAAAAGCTTTCATTGCACGCATTGAGTTCTCACATTTTTGTACTAAAGGCAAGCATGTAATTGCTATTATACACCACCAATATACCAAGACATGCTGGGGCAGGAGCAATACCTTTTGTCTTTCTAAAGGAAGACTGGCTGTTCTGGTTTTCCCTCGAGAAGTGCCGGTTTGTCGAAATAGCACGAATGCATATAGTGTTGACAGAAGTGGGAAACACTAATGTCTTGAATGGTGGTCGGCATGTAGAGATGGTCAGTGGGAGATACTTTGAAGGGAGGTTATGCGTTACGACTATCTTATTAATGGCTAGATGCCAGGGAGATTGGGACACAGACACTCTGTACTTGACATTGTAATTTACACTACGAGAAATTCTTCCTCTTGGCGACAAATAGGTCAAACACATGGGCCGCAGTCGCACGAGGGCCATTGCAACGTCCAGGTGAGTTTTAGCCAAACTTTCCCAATTGGGTAAGTTAAGTTCAGTGGAAAGCTCTGGAGAGGAAAGGAAAACAATGCTTTACCTCTCAATGCAGGCTTTTTTAATATTTAAATAAGCCTTAAAACAAAAATGAGGAACTGTGAGTGTGCACACTTGAGAAATGGAAGTACAATTTGCTATACTTTTCAAAAGAGTTAATAATACAGGGAAAAAAACAGGCTACTTTAAAACAATATACTTAAGTGTACTGAATGTAATGACACTCAACTGCATGTTAATTGCAATTAAATGAAAATGTATTATTGGCTATTTAATTCAATTAGTCAATAACACATTAAAATAAGTGTAGGCCTACTTCTTTGAAACACAATAAAAGATTATTACAACAATTATTTAAAATGTACATTAAATTTAAAAGTTTAATTTGACAATATTACAAAGCACAAGTATTAAGTGCGTTAAGAAACAGTCATGAAATTGTACTCAGTTGACGTTTTATTTTATTAAAACATTATCTGCAAGTAGGCCTAAAGTGTTTTTTTCTTCTGCTGAACACAAAAGAAGATATTTTGAAGAATAATGGGTAACTAAACAGTTGATGGCCCATCCCGTTGACTTCCATAATTTGAAGAAAAGAAAAAAAAAAGTTTTTGTTTGGTTACCCATATTCTTCTTCACAATATCTTCTTTTGTGTTCAGCAGAAGAAATAAATTCATATAGGTTTGGAACAACTTGAGGGTGAGTAAGTGAAGTGATGACATAATTTTTTATTATTGGGTGAACTATCCCTTTAAGGATTTGATGTAACGTCACACATTCTCCCCAGTATTATTATGAAGCTGATTTCTGTCATGTAACAAACTTACAGAGAAGGTTCCCAACAAAAGCGACCAAACTCAGCGCTACTAAGTTATATCATTATATTTTACTGTAACATACATTACAATATATTTCATTTAATACGTTATACGTATTCATTGTTAGCTTAAGCAACGTTATTAACTAGCGTTAATCGGTTTCAAAATCGAATAAAATGCTAACGTAAACGTTAACTGTTACATATGCTAAAGGATATTAACGTAAGGATAACTATTACACAAATGCTGTAAGCAGTGCCGAGCCCGTAAACAGATTATTTTATATTTTGCACTGCTTGCACAGGTGGCTAAAGTCCACCAAGCTAACACTTGCTAGCTTGTTTGCCTAGACAGGGAGTTGTTACAATGCAAGATACAAGCACTGACCATTTAAGAATATAAACTATCATAAACATTAATATCTGCATCAAAGCTCTGCTTTCAAGGGTTGATAACACAACAAAAAGGAATAATACTCACAGCTTGCAGTTCTACGGTTTTGTCTCAGTTGGCTGTCAAACTACGCGGCCGTTCAGTTGGAGGACTAGCGTAAACCTTACCCAACTAATCTCTTAAAGAGAAAGGCACAATAAATCTCTACTGCGCCTGCGCAGAAGTTTTACCCATCCTTCGTTCATGTAGTTTAATCATGTAGTTTTTTCATGTAGTTTTTTACAATTGTAAAAAAAAAAAAAAATATTAATCATAGGTTTATTTTGAGTGATTTTCACATACCTCATTGTCATCATATGAGACATTGACACGGTGCCTTGTTAGCATAGTCTGTCTCTATTAAAACTAAGGCTTATTAGCACTAGGTTATGAATTTGCAGAGAAATATAAAAATATTTAAAAAATTGTCTGTCTCCAAAACATTCCAAGACATGTGAATGTGGCGGATGGTGCAGGCTGTTATGACCTGAATATAGAAAAGAAACAAAATTATATTTTCTGAACAAAAGTAATGGTCTTTTGAATTCACTTAGGCCTACATGGGGTACAGCACAAGGTGTGGAGCACTTCCAGAGCTTGCAGGAAGATGGCCCTGAACGTGGTTTTCATCATCCCAAAAGCACCACAATAACCATAGACAGTAAAAGAAAGGCAATAACAGGCTAGATAATACCCATAATGCACTGTGAGGGTCATGCCTGCAGCTGCTGAATCATCTATCCATCCATTTTTCCACCCGCTGGTACAATGTGGCTACAGCATAATATTATACAGGTAACGTTATAGCCTACATTTCTTTTTAAATATCTATAAATATTTTTTAATAATTATCAAAATGTTTAATTAAGGTTTATACAAGCTAGTTTCCATGACCTTTGCCTTTGGGAATCAGAGCCATGTCCAATACAGCCTTTGTTTTTTCTGAGTGTTTTGAGTTTTGGCAAATGAAAACTATAATGTTCCGAATAGATCCTTTTCTCACCTTTATTGCAACCGATAACAGTAAAGTTATCCTTTTGACATATATATATATATATATATATATATATATATATATATATATATATATATATATATATATATATATTTCTCTTTATGAGTTCCGGAGCTCTTTTCCATTACATTACATAGTCAGTTCTGAGTGCGTTTGCTTACAAGTGAACTTGATTATGTAAGACGATACAGTTAAGTTAACAGATCTGGACCAGCTCTGTTTTGGTGGTAATGGTTATTTTTAGGCAAGAGGGGCAGAGGCCAGTTGCTTCTGGCTGCTGTAGGCTGGAATGTGCTGAGATGAAAGTTGTCCCAACATCCCACCCTCTCCTGCAGCTGCTGCATTCCAGCAGACCGAGGCAATGTGGGAAACCTCCTTCATTTAATAGTGGTAACCGTAGCTGCAGTAAGTCTAGTGGATTATTACAGTAATGACGATGAAAAATATGACAATTAAGTAGTAACACAGTCTCTGTGGTTTATTGTATTTTTAAATAAAATAACGGGTGTACTTCAGATTTAGTTTGAAGGTCCTAAACTGGCAATGAAATCACAGTGAGTGTCGGGGTGGCGACTGCATGAGTTTATCGATCTATTGTGCTCATAATGAAAGATCATAACTAAGGTACAGGCTCATATCCATCTGGCGCTTAGGTTTCATACCCAGCAGCACCAGCTAGAGTTCACCTAGGTCCACCTCACTGGAGCACTCTCAAGAGTTTCTGTCTTACCCACTAGTGTAAGCGTGTCTGTCACGGCCCAATCAGAAGTAAGCATCCGTACCCCACCTACTTAACGTATTAGTCTCAGTTAGCCATTGGCTGACGCACTTCACTCCTCCATGCTTATCAAAAGAGTTTACCTTAAAAAAAAGGGGTGGCAGGGCAGGTAGTTGTGTTTATCACTGAACACCAACCAGCAGCAGCCACGTACATTCATAGAGAACAGCGACAACATATAAACAGATGCTTGTCATCTTGACATCAACCTTTCAACCTTTGTATTTCTGCCACAATTACATCACGTTCTTTACAAAAACTGAAAACAAATCAACATACCGTATTAAAAGTGTTTTATGAATTTTATTTCTTAAGCACTAAAGAAGAACATATTTTGGCTACACTTTATATCAGGTGTCATTAACTATGTACTTACATGAAGATGTATTGTATACAACATTTCGCACATATATGTTCTTATTGTAGCAATGACACTGAACCCTGAACCTACCCCTAAACCTTAACTTAACCCATGTAGTTACCTTACACCACTCAGTACTTTCGTGGATAAGTACACTATAAGTATATTGAAAGTGCACATACTGTATAATAAAGTGCAACCCAAACACTTGTGCTGCTATTGAGATGGGATATGGGTGGTGTGGTTAGGTTTAAGAGTGGGTTAAGGTGTAACAGTGTAATTATTGAACAGAAATTATTGAAGCTGTAATTAAGTCAATATAAGTCCATTATTATTGGTACAACGACACTTAATATAAAGTGGGACCTAATATTTTATGTAATAACCTACATAATATGTTTTAGGATTAAAAAAGTATTAATTTCCTTTTCTGCTAAAGCAGAAGCAACAATAACATCACTTCCCGAGGAAACAAAAAAGATACATTTTACCCACACCAACTGGAATCATATTCTGGATAAAGGGATCAAACTAAATGCACCACAAAGTTTCTCCTCCAAACCCGTCAGAAGCAGAAAAAAACATTTGTAAGCAAAGACAGAGAATTCACTTTGAACAAGCCAGTAACCAACTACCCTGTAAAGGTGCACCAGTCAACAATGCTTTACATAACAGAGGCCTGTATGAGTGAGTGATACAAAAGAAGCCAAATCTGAAGTTTGCCAAAAAGCCCATTAGCATTGCTGGATAAGCCATTGTGGTCGGTCGGATAACCACAAAATAGAGCTTTGTAGTAAAAAAATCTTCTTAGTCAAAATCCAACAATCCCCAAATGGCTTAATTACAACATGGCATCACATTCAGAAGGACTATGTCTTGTTGAGTAGATGGAAATAACAGAATTAAACCATGTTCATTGAAATAAGAAAAATGTAAACCTTTAATTTCAGAATTAGGCCTACAGTACCTGAATTAATTTATATTAAACATTCTTTAAAAAAAAGGTTCCGTATTGGCATCTGGTTCCATGAAGAACCTTTAACATCCATAGAAACTTTACATTCCACAAAAGGTTCTTTCGATTTTTAAAATGATATTCACGTTAATAAAAATAGTTCTTTTAAGAAAGGTTATTTGGGGTAACAAAAATGGTTTTTCTTTGCCATCACTGTGAAAAAACGCTTTTGAAACCTTTATTTTTAAGATGACAACAGGAACAGATCTTTAAATCAGCAGAATGGGGAGGTCTATATTTTCCTCCATGTGATATGCAAAAACAGCTGTAGCTGTGGATTTTTGGACATGAAATAATCGGTCATATATGTGGAACTGAACATGCATAAGATGGCTGGTTCAGCCATGAACTTTTAAAATAGCTCATTGCCCCTTGCATCCATTCAATTTCTGTATCTGATCCTGTTTGGTCAAGTTTGTTTTCAGACACGATTGGGCCATTGCTGAACAGCTACCACTCATCTACTCGCAGCTGAAGGATCATAGTTCAACAAATGTGATCTCACATGCTCACCTGTTTGTCCATGTGTAGTTTATCATGACACGAGCAATCAGTGATAGTGTTCAGAAAAGGTCTAAGTAAAAAAAAGTTGTGTTTTTATAGCAATTAATCATTTTGTAATTTAACAATAAAGATTAAAAATAATTTCATTAGTAAAAAAAAAATTGAATAATTGCAATGATCTCATTTTCTCTCAGAGTGTATCTCATGTGCCATGTCACAGGTTGAGAGTACAACAATATATTGACTTTTGTCTCATCATCTCACTTCATTGACTTATTTGTTCACTTGAAAATTCTCCCCTAAAAATTTCTCCACTTATAATTTATAATGTTTATGTTAACCAAATCTATCCACAGATAAGCATCAATACATTTATTCAGCATCTATGCAATCCACGATCACATTTTAGCCATTTAAAAGTTATAAGTCAGTCCTGTATGTTCCCTAAAGATTTAGTTGGTCTTTTCTGCTCAAACACAAATATTGTAGATTTAACCCCATGTGTGGGTGACTAAAGAACTGAAAAGTAACTAAGATCACAATCCTGCCCTGTCACTATTGCCTTTGGCAGAAAGGCATACGATTTAGATGAGGGCCCAGTTTTTTGTAAGCATCTAAATCATTCATCACAACCCAGAACAAAAAATGAAGCAGATGAACAAAATATAGAGAAATAATATTCACAATTATTTTGCAATGTTTTGATCCTGTGGATCTGCCTAATTTGACATTTTGACCCTTGATTATGTCCTGGCTTGACCCACATTACTGCAGTAGAATGGGGACTTTTATTTGAGAATGTCGAAACTGACAGAAGAATTAGAAAACAATTATAAAAGGGGGCATATCATGATACATATTAATCCAAACCTAGAAGATGACAAAGACATTACACATTAAGCACTATCTGAGCAGACGGTTCAAAATTTAACAAAGATTGCCAAAACACGTCTTGGAATTGTTATATATTAAACTAAAATGTTTTTAAAAGACTTTTGCAATACATTTATTTCATAACGCCAAAAAAGAAACACTATGTGAAAAGTGCTGTATCATCCAATCACATCTGTGGTACACTTCACACCTCTTCAGATCTGATAAGCACTCTAGCCCTGACTCGGATTAGAAGAAATGTATGTCGAGGGTTTCTAACACAAAAGTGTCCACTGCGTCCATTGACAAAGTCAGTCGAGTCCTCACACCCCACAAAAAAAAAAAAACTTCCTATGACAGACTCAGAACTGAGCACACAAGGGGTTAACAGAGAGTTTCTGAAAGTTTGAATCTCCTCCCCCCAAATAACACCCCATGGAATGGTCTGCCCCACTCGTTCACATGACACGTGTGTGTATGTTTGTGAGTAAGAGAGTGAGTAAAGCTTGGTGTGTGTTTTCTTTCTGCCATATATAGGGGCAAACTTGCTTCGAGGCGAAGTTGTGTGATATAGTCTGTGATCTATCTTCTTTATGCCCTCGGGACTATAAGGAGCTCTGCATATTTGGCCTGCTTCTGCCACAATTGGAGGAAAATTATTGAGCCTAGATTATTTTGTCCTGTTCATTTTGAAGATCTGCTCAGTTGCTGGCAAACATGGAAGAGCTGAATGACGTTCATGATGACGGATCCTTCATGTTCACCTCAGAGTCTGTGGGAGAAGGGCATCCAGGTGATTTTAAATCCTGAACTTTTAAATGAAACTCTCAGAAATGTGCTTTTAAACTATTATATAGTACAACTATTTTTTACTGTTTATTGATTCATTAACTATGTACTTGCATGGAGGGGAAAAAAGACATGCACTATAGACTTATTATTCACCTGCCTCCACAAGTCAATGGAGCATATTTTGTAGATAGAAGAAATGGTAAGCTGGTTAAGCAACAGTTCAGTAGGGTTCATTCACACATTTAGTAACAATACTTCCACAGTACCATGTGCTCAGCAGGTATTTCATTGAGTGAAAGTGTAGTAGACAAAAATAGTCAATTAGGGGTCATGACTTTTACAGGGTGGTGTTAAATTGCATCATATCACTAGGAGGCTTTTCTCAGTTACATATTTACTGTGCAATTTATTTAATAATGAACTTACTGATGCAGAATTGTCTAGTGAGCGCACATGTATACCAACAGATATTGCTTTAGTTATTTTTTTCCGTCTCATGTGGGAACTTGCCAGACCTCACATTTCTTATCGACCATATTGAGGTTCTCTCACGTCATGATACAAGGCCAAAGTGCTATAAACAGTTACAAGAGTGAAACATCAAGTTATGTCATATGTCAAGTGTGCTTTCCCAATATTACAAAACCGCTTTACAGAAAACTCTTAATGACTCTAAATACATAATCTCATCTAGACAGATTTTGCAACACTGCAAACTAACCTGTCTGGTTCACTTGGACAAGTTTTGAGTCTTGCTTGCTAAACATCTCCAATCAGCACATATTTCAGCGGATCAATCAATAGACGCGCATGTGCAAGACACAGAAAATTGATTCCATAATGTCCCAGACCTCATAGATTTGACTTGTTTGTCTCGTATTATCACCTGAGTGTTGTTTTTGACAGCGTAGTTTCTGATGTAACTCACCTAAGCGGTTGCCTCAGCTAGCAGCCCAAATATAGACTGAGTGAATGATTCTGAAAGGAGACTACCACTGGTATTGTCCTCCCGCTGCTCAGCTGTGGTTTTGCTTTGTTGGGATTCCTGTGTCCTATAAAGAGTCTTGATTTAGGAAGACATCAAAACTCTTAAACTGAAACTTTCTGGTGTAATAACACTAAACACACACTTGAACCTTAATCTGAGCCATAACATAACTTTGTTTTTGTAATTGTGTGATTTTTTTTTTTAATAGATAAAATCTGTGACCAAATCAGTGACGCAGTTCTTGACGCACACTTGAAGCAGGACCCAGATGCTAAAGTTGCCTGTGGTGAGTGAACTTTTGAAATCCCAAACTAAATAAACATGTAAGGATTTTCTGTATAAACACGAGTGTCAAAATTTTCTTTGAAAGTTCATAGTCCAACAGTTGGTCACTTATCTTGACTCTTGTTTAGTTATAGAGTGACCTGACCATTTCACATACCTTTCTATCCTCAAAGTTTAACGGCATTTAAATGGATAACATCCCCATGTCCAAATTCAAAGCTAGCAATAAATTATACAGTGGCGATTTCCCTTTGTCAAGGGTTGTTTGACTAATTAAAATTGTTTTAATCATCAGAGACTGTTTGTAAGACTGGTATGGTACTTCTCTGCGGAGAGATCACATCTCGTGCCAACGTGGACTACCAGAAAATTGTGCGTGACACCATTAAACACATTGGTTACGACAACTCCGAAAAAGGTCAGAATCATTATTTGGATAATTATTCGTTCTTTAGATCTTTACTAACTCAACCACCAAATGTTATTTTTCCACGCTTTGCTCCTCCCTCTGTTCAGGTTTTGACTATAAAACCTGCAATGTTCTGGTGGCTCTCGAGCAGCAGTCTCCGGATATAGCGCAGGGCGTCCATGTTGACAGACATGAGGAAGATATTGGGGCTGGAGACCAGGTCCGAACACAACGGAAGTGTAAAACATATGTTTGAGCACATCATTTGTGATAAACATCGTCATGTTGCATTTCCGTTGTGTTTTAGGGGCTCATGTTTGGCTATGCCACTGATGAGACGGAGGAGTGCATGCCGCTTACCATTGTCCTCGCTCACAAACTCAACGCCAAAATGGCCGAGCTGCGGCGGGACGGCACCATCCCATGGCTTCGCCCAGACTCAAAAACTCAGGTCAGCAATATGAGAGTGAAATTGAAGGAAAACAACTTGCTTTTTGCACACTTACTATTGCAATTGATATTATTGTGAGCTGCAATGTGCAGGTTCAGACTTCAGAGCCCCTGACTGACATTGACCATGCTATCTTATCAGCCGAGTGTTCATTGAACCAGTACATTGGCCAATAGGTGTGACGGCTGTTGAGCAAGATATTGACCATGAGGCGGCCTCTTTTAACGCTTATAAGAAAATGACCCCCCGCGTGACATCCAGGGCCCCCGAACCTTAATTTTCCCAGTGGGGCAGAGGACACGGCTGTGCACCTGTCAATCTCAGGAGCATGCCAGCAACTGGAAGCTGAAACCTCTGGTCTATTTTAGAGTTCTGCCATTTTCAGACCATACAGCAGGAAATGTCCAAAGTTTGTCACATTCCCTGTGTTGTACATGTCAATTGAAACATGGCCTATATGTTTTCCACAACTCCAGGTCACAGTGCATTACAAGCAGGAGAATGGCGCTGTGATTCCTTTGCGTGTCCACACAGTGGTCATCTCCGTCCAACATGACGACTACATTTCACTGGAGGAGCAGAAGCGTATTCTGAAGGAGAAGGTCATCAAAGCTGTGGTTCCAGCAAAATATCTGGACGACCAGACCGTTTACCATATTCAGCCGAGTGGGCGCTTTGTCATCGGAGGGCCTCAGGTAAGCATGTATAATGCACTTTAACTCTATTCCTGCCATTGACTGAAATTTCCAGCTTTCTGTGTTTTCACTGTTGTACGTTAGGGGGCGCTATTAGGGATCTTCTGAAAGAGTACATAATCTCTAGATCAAAACACAGGAGAAGAAGAAGCAGAAACAAACAATAGCATAATAAAATAATGCAACCATCAACTAGAGCCAGACCGATATATCGGCAGACCGATATTATCGGCCGATATTTGGCATTTTCCAAACTATCGGTATCGGCAGTTATAATGGCCGATAAATTAATATTTCAAAAATAAAATAAAAACGGACGAAACACACTTGAACCATGTTATGAGAGTTGGAGTTTTATAGTTTGTCCACCAGAGGGCACCCTGTTGGCAACAAATCATTGAGTTGGTCACGATACATATATTGCTTGAATAGCAATTAAAAGATCATCCCCATCAGTTCTCTTAACTGAAATAAGCATGACCAAATTTGTGCAATTTGCAGTATGACATTATCCATTACTAAATTATGGCTCATCATAGACTAGCTAACCACAAAGCTAGCTAATGCCACTATCGTCAGTCTGTTCTGTTGTGACAATTAAAGAAACAAGTTTCTTTTTAAAATGCATTAGCATATTATTTCAGTTAAATTCATAAAAACAACAAATAACTAATGTTAGGGAAATCTGTTAATGTTGTGTTGCGCGTTTCTGAAAAAAAATAAATAAATAAATAAATAAATAAATATCGGCCGATATATCGGAATATCGGATTTTAAAACCCAAAAATATTTGTATCGGCCTTCAAATTCCTTTATCGGTCGGGCTCTACCATCAACATTAAACAGCATATGAATCAAAGCTACCTAATGTTACCAAATGAAATGTCAGCCCAGGACAAAGTATAGGAATGAGCAAGCTTTGGGGGTGTTGATGGATTCGATCTACTCCATTTGTTTCGATCATTGTTCTGAATCTGATCCAAATGTAGTCTTTGACAAAAATGCTTGCTTTTTTTTAACTTAAGTTTTGATTAAAAAAAGAATGCATGAAGCTAGAATATATTTTTTTGGTTTAAACATTGCATTTTGATATATTGCATGCTCAGATATTCATGCAACAAAATATTGTGAGGGCCATGAAACTTTTGGTGAAAATGATCAAAAATATGGGCACTGATTGGCAACTTTTTTAAAAAAGCAGTTGGGGAAATAGTCAAAAAGGATTTGTTCACTTAAAATGAAAATTCAGTGATTACTTATTGACCCTCGTGTCGTTCCAAACTTTTGAATTTTGCATCTCTTGTCTTGCAACAACAGATCATCACTAAATATAAATCATCCTAAAAGTAGTCAATATTACTTGTGCTCTATCTTCCAAGTCTTCTGAAGCAGTATGATAGATTTGTGTGAGGAGACGGCGAATTTAAATCATTATTCATTAAAAATATGCACCTGCTATATGTCAAAGCTAGGCACAAACGCAGACTAGACACAAGCTTCAATAGAGATGTAGAGCTGTTTCATGATTCTTCACAAAACTCTTTCTCTCTAACTGCCAACTGGTTTGGAATGGCATGAGGATCAGATATTAATTGGCAGTTTTTTTTTATTTTTGGTGAACTATTGCATAAACCAAATCATAATCTTTGCTTTTCAGGGAGATGCTGGTGTTACAGGTAGGAAGATCATTGTGGACACATATGGTGGATGGGGGGCTCATGGTGGTGGGGCCTTCTCTGGAAAGGACTACACCAAGGTGGACCGCTCTGCTGCCTATGCTGCACGCTGGGTGGCTAAATCTCTGGTGAAGGCCAAATTGTGCAGTAGAGTGTTGGTTCAGGTGAGATGAAAGTGTAAACTTCTTCCAAGTGATCTGGATTAAAACTGGAATGGATAAGCTGGTGTCTGGAGCAGGGTTGTGAATAATTAATGTGTTCTGTAGGTGTCTTATGCCATTGGAGTCGCCCACCCTCTTTCAATCTCCCTCTTCACCTACGGCTCATCGGTAAAACCAGAGAAGGAGTTGCTACGCATTGTCAACAAGAACTTTGACCTCCGACCAGGTGTCATTGTTAGGTAAACAATTAATAAGATAAAATGTTCTTATTCTTCCACTTCAGGCAAAGAAACTAACAGTTTTTTTTTTCAGTTTTAAAAAAACAAGTGGTTAAGTTCAGTACTTTGTATTCAAATTTAGGCAAATGATTAACATTATTTAGTTTAGGATTCACTAAAATAAGACTCAAGAGGGAATAATGGGAAATTCTTAGATATTATTATTAGATATATTCTTAGATTCTGAGCAATAAATTCCATGTAATGTTAAATCCGTTAAATATCTAAAACATCCTCTACTTTTAGTCGCTGAAAAAGTGCAAAACGAATTTAAATTTAAAAATCGATATTAATGTAAACATATCAACACTGAACAAAAACATGTGGAAACTGTTCTTGTGAAACCTTAAGCTCTTAAAATAACACTATAATTAGTACACTGTTGAAATACAGTATTGTGAATTATTTACACTTTAGTCATTTATTGTGTTTTAATGTGTTGTTATGGAAAGACCGTAAAAAACGTTTACAATCCTGCTCTATCTTTATAGTGATATTTAATATAGAATATCACTATGCACTATGGGCATTTCCCAATTTTTCCTCCAGAGGGAGTACCGCTGCCATCGGGTTTATTAAGTTTCTCTTAAAGGGATAGTTCACACAAAAATAGAAATCGTCATCAATTACTCACCCTCAAATTGTTTTAAATCTGTGAGAATTTCTTTCTTCTGCCAAACACAAAAGAAGATATTTTGAAGAATGTCGTTAACCAAACAGGTGATGAGGCCCTCCATACTATGGAAGTCAATATGGCCAGTTTGGTTACCCATATTCTTCAAAATATCATATTTGTGTTCATCACACAGGTTTGGAACAACTTTAGGGTGAGGAAATGACAGAATTTTCATTTTTGGGTGAACTATCCCTTTAATTCAAATGATTCAATTGTGCAGTTTTAGTATAATAAGTACTTCTGCACCTAAATTAGGTACAGTTTTGGTTCAAGTAGGATTGAGGTGTCGGCTGTTTGGTGAAAAGCTAAATAACGTAATTTCCACTAACAGGGACCTGAACCTGAAGAGGCCGATCTACCAGAGCACCGCCTGCTATGGTCACTTTGGCCGATCAGATTTTCCCTGGGAGATGGCCAAGACTCTCAAGGTTTAATGAGAGAGGCATGCAAGCCTATACCTTCAGTCATTCAGTCGCTTTTTCCTTCTGTTCTCCTCTCCCTTCTGATTTTGGTTCTCCTCTGGCATACGCTATATATTTTAGATTAGACAAATATACTGTAAACGTCATGAAAATCCAGTCTTTTATTTAGAAGTCTTTTGAGAAAGGATCCCTCACAACATCAACACCCATGACAATCAATCATTCCTTAAAGCTGAATTGTGTCTTTTAGTGTGTGTGTGTGTGTGTGTGTGTGTGTGTGTGTGTGTGTGTGTGTGTGTGTGTGTGTTAAAAGGCGATTTCCTATCTGAGGTTGGCATATAGAGACAACTTTAAGTTAAATGTAAATACAGTGATCCTCGGTTGAAACAAAGTCACATAAGGGTTTTATTTTTATTTTGCAGCATGCCACTAAACGCTGATATGTGAATGTTTGTTGAATGTCTTGTTGAATGTAGACGGCACTGTTTGAAGTTTTACGCTTTGAGCAAACAGTTTAGATAATACATGGAAGAACACGCGTCTATGTAAAAGATAACACAGAAAAGTAACACTTTGTCCCTTTTTAATGGAACAGTCCCACATGGCAAATCTTTCATTTGTATTCTCCCTTATGGTGACCTCTTTTTTCATGTGAAACATGAGAATGTTTGCCTTTTTTTGTTTGTGGCTTGCCATCATCTGTAGTGCTACCGAAACACATGACTCTTTCCGCAGCAACACTCTCAGAAAAAAATTGTGAAAAACAGCTTTTCACTCGGGCAGTACCCTTAAAAGAACATCTTTGTACCACTTTTTTAACCCCTAAAATGTGCATACTAGCACCTTAGAGTAGCAATTTGTACCTTAAGGTACTACTGTGAACTTTTTAGGGGATGACAAGGTACACAAGTTGTGAAATTAAAGGTGCTGCATGTCATTTTTTGGACTGTACTCAAGAAACTAAAATACATTAATATATTTGCAGATATTCAGGAAACATGCTAAGTTTAAATACTTGTTTCTCTGAAAAAGAGTCGTATGTTATTCTACTTTGAAAAAAAGTATGGAATTTCGGAATGTCTGTTTTGGTACTCGTGTTTTCATCGACACATGTTTTCGTCGTAGCTACGCCATGAGTTTGACGCAGAAGTATAAACAGAGAATGTCTAATTGAAGAGAATTGGCACTGGCTGGTTACTTCCGGTTTCTGGACTGGCTGCAGTTACACGTCTCTGCCCATGCGGGGGCGCTCGCGGTCGAGTGCAGAATGAATGGGAGTTAATGGGGTTTCACCCCCAGAAATCCACTTTTCTCAGGATGTAATTTTTTGTCAAGTAATTTGAAAGTTGCATTCAAAAGGGAGGGCTAAGATAATACACTCAGCTGAAAATTGCATTTTTAAGTTCACTTATCTGTTCTAAAAATCCATTCAAAACTGTGATGACGTCACACAATAGCAGAATGCTAGCGTGTTCCGGCCAACAACGGCCTAACCTGTAAGAAATCAAAAGGACATAAGTACTCGTTCATTCGACTTTTGGCCTATAATCTATATTGAACTTGCGGAATCAACAATAAAATCTATGTTAATTTAACGACAAGCAGATGAAAGAGACACATTTAGCCATTTAGCCCCATAGACTCCCATTCATTCTGCTCTCGCCCGCGATCACCTCCAGTGGAATTCTAGTGGAACTGCAACCATGATGATACACAATGGGGCTAATAGGAAATGCCAAGGCTCTCCGTTAGACGGGCTCTGGTATAAATTGGGGTTAAGGCTCAAAGCTTTCCATTGTCAATTACGCGGTTGTTGCGTGTCCTCAATCTGGCAACCTGCATGAGTGTGGACTCAGAGAAGGAAACAACTCTCCAAAATTTTGAATTTGGACTACAGTACATATTTCAACCACTAGCTGTCAATATTACATACTGCACTTTTAACTTAAATTGGAAAATAGCATAAAACATCTGCGAATAAAGCACCGTTTTTTATCCCACGTGTTCGAGAGAAGAAAATAATCACTCCCTGGAAAAAATGGAAGTTGCTGCAATTGGGGAAAAAACACGTTTACAGTACATTTACAATTAAGGCCGTTTAGACAACACCGTTTTCAGCTAAAAATGGAAAACATTTTATGTTTTGGCTGTTCATTTACATGACTACAGTGTTTGGGGGTTGTGTGGGCCAAAACATTTGAAAACCGGATTCAACGTGCAAGTTTTTGAAAAAAATACCGTTATCGTCTCTGTGTAATCTACAAAAATGGAAATTTGTGAAAACAGTGACTTTATGCGCATTGTGTTTAGTCTATAGGCGTGTAGTTTATTTATAAAGTGACATCGACAACTACTGGCATAATACAAGCTGGGGGTTTTATCGTCTTCACGGTTCCTCGTTAACAGGTATTGTTTTGACAATGTTGTTATCTGTCGGAGAAGGAAAATCTATTTCATTTATAGTACATCTTGTCATGTAAACGTACCCTAACTTGCGCTTGAGACAAAATACAATATGCTATCTTCCGTTCAGAAGCGAATGCCTAACACATTTCAGCTTTATATCTCAAATTATTTAAATCATCATTTTTCAGTTTTTACTACATTGTCATTTTCTTTTTCCCTGTCTTTACAGTAGTAAAGTTACAGTAGCATGTTATGAGGAGGCATGAAATAGTGGACCATTACAAGCTTTAGGCTTTTTACATCTACAATCCGAGAATCATATTCCTCTCATCATATACTTACAGTCTTAAAAGGGTCTAATTTGTGCGCCTTTTTCTTGCATCATAGGATCGTTCGCTTTTTATGCTTCGTTTTTGACTGCATCATCTCATTATTGTTGAACAATGGCAGGGGGATATTAATATGAGAATTTTGATGTTTACGTGTACAGATCCTGAGCTGGTCTTACATTGATTGTCACCACTGGAGAGTGAGCATGTGTATGTGTGTTTATGTACAAAGCCAGATTATGTTGCACACTTTATATGTGTGTGGAAGCCACTGTGTAATCTCATTTGTTCAACAGAGGCATTAATCCTTAAAAACACTGTAAACCATCTTATTACAGTTTCCTTTCAGATTTTTAGCGTCTGAATTTAAGATCTGACATGTAAATAATTGTGAATAATTAAAGTGCAAAATTCTTAAATTTGTCCAGTGTCATATGGATCTCTTTAAACCCAATGAATGACTGGATATGCCAACCAATAATTTCATTATGTTGCACATTTAAGTTTCAAATGCACAGAATGTTTATTAGTCTATATTCACAGTTTTTTCAACAAGGCACCAAAATTTGAAGCACAACACCTGACAAGTTAAAGAAGAATAACTAAATTCAATGTTAGAGCAAACTCAAAGGCCACGGTGATTACTAACAGGAATTGTGCGACATCGTCTACATAACTTAAAGTTCATTGCTCATTCACAGAAAGGCAATATGAGAGTAATGTTTGATTTTGCTTTATTTCCGTACATTTAAATTTACAGCACAATCGAATGCATTCTGCCCAAAAACAAAACATTCTCCAATGAGTGAGCCAATCCTTGGTTGAAACAAAGGCACATAAGGGTTTTATTTTTATTTTGCAGTATGCCACTAAACGCTGATATGTGAATGTTTGTTGAATGTCTTGGTTGAATGTAGACAGCACTGTTTGAAGTTTTACGAAACAGGTTAGATAATACATGGAAGAACACGTGTCTATGCAAAAGATAACACAGAAAAGTAACACTTTGTCCCTTTTTAATGGAACAGTCCCACATGACATGGCTACTTCAAAAATTCAGTTCATGTCATGTAGTACGACTTGTGCCATATTCTTAAGTCTTCCGAAACCTTATTATGCAGGAGGAACCAAATGAAATATAAATCATTATTCACAGAAATTCCCTAATTCTGCATCACACAAATCTCATTTGATGGCACTGATGGAATAATGCATCATCATGGCATTTTGAATGTTGATTCAAAGAGGAAGATTAACAGCGAAATAACGTCAAATTCACCTGTCTTGTGTGGCTTCAGAAGACTTGAAATACAACATGAGTCTTATGAGCTACTTGGTTGTCACTACTTTGAATTGTCAGAGCTGCATAATGATTCTTCGAATGTTTCTTTTGACTTCCACAGGGAAAATAACAGTATGAGTATATAGTGAATTTTTATCTTTGGATGAACTATTTAAGCAGTGATATTTTTGAGGTACGTCAGATAATGGTTTAATCGAAATGATGGAGCTAACCCAGTCTCCATTTCAAGATAATGGAAGGAAATGATCAAAACAAGTAACTGAAAGGGTAAAACTTTTTCTCATATCTGGTTGATCAACGGAGTCTTTAACACAGAGGGAAAATATGTGACGAGACAGAAATTCCTGAGCGTAAAGGAATAGTAAACTGAAAAGACATGAAAGACGTTTTCTGCGGCACTAGTAACATCAGATGTTGAGAAGCATAAACATAACTCTTGTCCTGACAAATGGAATAACAAAACTCCCTTGATAATGATTAAGCAACCATATTAATTTTTTAATGCTGGTAGTATGAAAACATTTGACCAATGTAAACCAAGCTTCATCTGTTTCTTTTTCTCTCAAAACAAACAAAAACAATTATGATCTTGCAGTCCTGCTGCACGTCATTTTGTCTGCAAACAGCTCACATGGATCTAGTACATTTGTGAACACATAAACTAGTCCTCCTTCATCCATGCTCAGGCCAGCTTCTCAGTCTTTCATTACTAGACGTTTCCTTGTAACAAACCTCGACGATTCCGCAGTGAACCAACACAGACATCAAGACAAACTACACGTAGTGCTGTTCTCAAATACATTTGGTCACAATGTACAGCAATACTCATTGCTTCTAGCATGACTTAATTTGATGAGCTTATGCACCTGTTTTGCGAGAGGTTTTTGCTGATCTCGTTCAGCTTAGCTCTTTCTAGCTGTCAGTAGGCTATAAACTTTTACTGCATATGAAGGCAGCTTTCAGATGCTATGTTTGGCTATCGACATACAGGTCTAATAAATATCTGTATTTGGTTTTCAGTATTAAGGCACGCTGGTAAATGACAATCTCCTGAACAAGACGTTTCAGACGGCATATGGTGATTAAGGCAAAAGATATGCAACAGCAGTGATATGCAACAATAAAATATATGATTTAAAGGGATAGTTCACTTCGAAATACATTTTTGCTTACCTCAAGGCCATCCAAGAAGATGTAGGTGTCTTTGTTTCCGATCTTGTCTGTCAGTCATATAATGCAGGTATGGAGGTCCACGTCAAAGAGCATGCACAGAGAAGTCCAAATTAAACATTATTTAATGACTCGTAAATGTAAGTACACATTGATGGCCTAAGACCCGAAACGAGTTGTTTGTGTGAGAAAACGAACAGTATTACCTCCCATAATCACATTCACATCCAAGTGATATGAATCAGTTGTACAACGTCCAACTGAATCGAACTGAATCAGTTCACAGTTCCGCCGGAAGTGATCGCTTGCTTGTGCACGTCGCTCATTTCGGAAGTTACCTTTTACTAAACATATTTAGATGTACCGAAATTGTCTTCCATTGCGATTTCCTGTATATCTAAATATGTTTAGTGGAAGGTAAAATTTCGTTTTCTCACACAAACCGCTCGTTTCCAGTGATGGCGAGATGAAGCTTCATAAAGCATTGAAGCGTTCCATTCATGTGCCGAAGCTTCGTGGTGCTTCATTTGCTCTATTGTGCCATCAAGTGGGCAATAAATGTAAAACGTGCAGTGTGATTATAATGATATGGCTTTGGTGTCTGAAGCATTGAATGATTAATCAATGATGTTTGTGATGCTTATAAATAAAGTATAAACTTTTATATTGTGTCTGTCTTTATGATACAATGACAGGGTCAAAATGAAAAGTGGAAACAAGGGAGAGCGTTGTCATGTGAATGTGTGCTTGTGTTACATATTTTTTGACTGTGCTGACAGTCGGCATTTTATTCATTTTTATTTAAAAATAACAACTTCTCCACAGTGTTCGGCTTCAGGCGATTTCTTTTTTTTTTAGATTATTTCATTCATATTTCAAATAGACCGCAAAACTGTGAACCACTTCCTGAAGCAGTCACGTGGTACAGCTGGCTCGCGAGGCTCTTCAAACCTCACCACATACGTCACCAACACAAGCCTCGATACGCGTTTCACAGAAATCATCCCGGATTACTCGACACACGCTTCGAAGCCTCGATACAGGAGGACACATCCCTACTCGTTTCGTGTCTTAGGCCATAAATGTGTACTTACATTTACGAGTCATTCAATCATGTTTAATTTGGACTTCTCTGTGCATGCTCTTTGACGTGGACCCCCATACCTGCATTATTTGACTGACAGACAACAACGGTTTGACCGAAAAATATCAAAATTGAAAACACTGTGGAAACAAAGACACCTACATCTTGGATGCCCTTGAGGTAAGCTAAAACATATCAAAAATTAATTTCAAAGTGAACTATCTTTTTAACCATCTCTGCCTTTGAAAACAACTAAAGGCACAGAAAACGTCAGCATTTTTGGATTCATTGTCTTGCAATGTCTGAAATTGGCACAATAACTTTTGTTTAGAGGCACCATGTTAAAATGCCTGCAAAAGGCATCGGTTTAGTTTACTACAGCACTGATGTAGCGTTACTCTGGTTTCATCGATGGATGCAGACATTTTAGCCAACATGCAGTCTGTAGTTCCACAGATACTTAACAATCCCAAAGAGATCTAACGGAAACTCCAACACATCCAGGCAATGAGCTTTGTTTTTCCCAGCATGGAAGCTGATGGATTCAAAAGGTCCCCAGAGAGTGAAGAAGTCTCTCAAAAATGTGCAAAATCTGAGCTGGATTCTTTGGCAAAGGTAAGCCGATTGTACGAGAGCCAGGTCCAGTTTCTGTTTCTTTCCCTCTCCTGTTGTAGTGTAGTGTTGTAGAGAGAGAAAGAGAGAGAGACACTGAAGCTACAGTATAGAAAGGTTCTCAGGCTGGTGCTGACTGGGTCCACCAAGAGACTCCATTTTGTGGTCTCGGCTTGCAGACTGTAGCGATTGCCCTCGGGCCAGCACCATCATCGTGTCGCTAGATATCCCAGCGAATTCAAAAGCGAATGTCCCGTAGAACAGCATAATGATGACACAGAAGACCCACTCGAAAATGGCCGACGCATGTTGCAGGACAAAACTTTCCTGGACAAAAAACACCCCGCCTGAGGAAAGTTTCATTAAGGAATGATAGTGAACACTGTAAACTCATGCTCAGGCCTGTCTGCATTACGGGAAGAACACGCATGAACTCAATGACTGACAAAGAAAAGGAAAGCAAAACCTAAAAGCTAATTATTGCAGATTTGCAATGTTTGTGAATTTTTTTGTGCATTTTAACAAAGTTAAAAACAAAGCTGACTGATTTTTTTCTCCAAAATTTCTATAGATATTTCAATATTATCTTTATTGTAAATTAGTGGAAATGGTAACACTTTACAATAAGGTTTCATTAGTTAACATTAGGAAACTATGAACTAATAATGAACAATACCTCTACAGCATTTATTCATTTTAGCTAATGTTAATCTCAACATTTACTAATGCTCTTTTTAGATCAAAAGATGTATTTGTTAACGATATTTATTGCACAGTGAACTATTAGATAGCAATCTGCAAGCAATCACATCATTACCACATGGCACAAGCTGATTGGCCTCTGCTGATCCAGCAGCCAATGAGATTTCTAGCTCAAAATTTTCACTGTAAGCTAGTCCTACTATCAGAGTTTCTCTGAAACCCTCCACCTCCCCCAGCTCCACCTGCCTAGATCTGCAGACTGAATTTATGCTTGTTTATGCAGCAACATTTCTAATGTGCTCACAGCAGTGTGTCCATACTTAGCATAGCAAGCGTAGCACGTCAAGACCAAATACATTAACATTGCCATATTAAATAGCATGCTAAAACGATTCTGGGTGTCATGATTGAACATTAACAATGCTGGAAAAATATATTGCTCATTGTTAATTCATGTTAGTTAAAGGTGCAGTGTGTGAATTCTAGTGACATCTAGTGGTGAGGTTGCGAATTGCAACCAACAAAAGTTACGGTGGTCATCGTAAAATATGTCGTCGTCTGAAATAATAAAGTAAATTATGTTTACTTTATTATTCAGTAAAACAATATGTTATTGCGAATATTAATGTTACTTTTTTATCATTGTGTCAGTGTTTTATTCGCTGACTTTAACTAGCTTCCTTGCACGAAGAACAAAATAGTAGTAGTGTAGAAAAATGTCGGCATATTTCAAAGTAAGTGGTAATAAAAACATAACAGTTCATTAAGTATGGTCTTTGTACACCACTGAAAACAGTTATGTATGACATTGGATTTCTGTCAACAGATCCTCCTAAATATTACACAATGCACCTTTAATGGATTAACTCATTTTAACAAATAAATTGTGTTACCATAAAAATCTAATATTGTGACAGTCCTAAATACAAATATATAATTTAAAAACAATATGGATGAGTGATACTGTAAAGGATACTGAGCACCAGGGCTACAAAAGCCATCAGGGTCATAAAGAGGCGCAAATGACCCACATTATATTCTCCCTGAGTCTTTGCCAAGCGGTAGGTCAGCGCAGACTGCAGACACACAAACAGCATACTGGTGGGGAAGGCCACTCCTGCTCCAACATAGTGAAGAACCTTGGCGTTATCCACCTGTGAGAAACACAACGACAGGAAACAACAGTGAGAACTGATTCTCCAATCAAAACTACAGATGTCACATACTGGAGAAGTAGTTTAGTGTGTGTGTGGGGGAGGGAGAAGGTCCATGGTACCCATTAAGGGGAAAAAAAGTTCTGCATTTTTTTCTTTATTTGAAATGGAAAAACCACAAACAAACTTTTTGGAGAGTATTTTCCTATCTAAAAATAGCCACATCTCTAGGAAATTTCTCTTCATTTTCCCCAGCTGTGGAAAGATCATATTTAGAGAGCCCTAACTGTTCGGTACAAATCTGTTCAGGAAGGACTAATTAAAACCACCCAAAATTGCACATACTGCAACACAAACTCATTGAAAACACATGTCGACATATTTTAAAACATAACCTGTAATCAGTGTAACTCGGTTTTACATTCAACACATTTTTGTATTTGAAACAATGAAGGCTGGATTAAAAATATTTCAGTACAGTAAGTGGATCTGGTCTGGTTACAAAATCACATTCATAAAACGGTATGTAACATATTTTGGGAAATTCTGTTTATGTCGTATTTCCACTTTTATAGCTGCAAGTTTGCTGTGCTCGCCACACATGACTGTCTGTGGTGTGTTTATGGTCTAAGTGCTCGCAATGCCACATCACACACAACTCCTGAGCCAGTTTCTCACCGCCAGCGGAGGGCAGCAGTGCACCCACAACAATCAAACACATTACCCATATGAATACCACACAATCCAAGGTCGAGAATATCAGTCCATAATATCACACTATTATAGCACTACAATATTAGTAATGTATAATTTTTTTAAAAGAAGCATCTTATGTTCACTAAGGCTGCATTTATTTGGTAAAAAATACTGTGAAAACATTAATATTGAGAAATATCATTAAAATTGAAAATAGCTGTTTTAATATATTTTAAAATGTAATTTATTCCTGTGATGGCAAAACTGAATTTTCAGCATTATTACTCCAGTCTTCTATTATCAGAGCTGAAAACAGTTGTGCTGCTTAATACTTTTGTGTAAACTTTAACAGGATTTACTTATTTAACACAACACAACCTTCAAGGCACGGTGCCAATGATTCATACAGAGTTCGTAACGATACGCTAGTGCGTTCGTAAAGTATAAAATTTTCACAGTAGCTACTGTATTGAAGTCAGTGGGAATTTTTTATGTTTTGTTCTATTATAGCGCCGACAAGAGGCACAATCCCACTAATTTTTCCCAGTGTCCTCAGAGTGAGCCCATACATGTGTCAAATTTGGTGAAAATATCTCATTTCGTTTTGAAGTTATAAACATTTTTATGTATAAACACATAAAAAAAACGACCCACACCTGACTTTGTTGGCATTTTCTTGCCACTTACTATTAATATTTTGACATTTGAGCATAGCCAACAACCTAAGTTTTCAAACGTCTGATGGTGGTTTTATTTCGATTGGTCTAATAGTTTCGAAGATATCCGCAAATGTTTTTTAAGCACTAAGTCACAACGCTACACAAACCGTAATGTGAAACCTAGCATGTTTGGTATCATTGGACTGGGCAAGGATTCAGGAACTTAATGAGACTCCCATGAAAACCAGTCAACCACACCCAGAAGTAAAAGCATTTGAAGATTTAAATTTTACCACTAGGTGGCGCTGGTTCGAAACTTCTCAGGCTCCTTCAGGGCATTGTGCTGATGACCCATACCGAGACGATCATGCGTTCATAAAATAAAATACAGCATTTTGGTACAAAATTCAAAATGGCCAACGCCTAAAATGTTCGATATGGAAAAATCAGAGATACAGCCTTACGTCTGTTTTCGCAAGGGCTACATGAAATTATTTTGTGCGGTATTCGAGAACGGTTCGACGAATCGACATGAATTCCATAACTTCGGAACATCAGCCTAGGAGGAGTTCGAAAAAGTAGGTTTTTCAGAGAATTCAAAATGCCGGACAAATTAATGTCTTAAATAATCGTCTTGAGCCAAGGAATTAGTGGGAATTTTTGTTTGTAGCCTTTATGGCTTAAACATGAGTGAAACTTTGGACAGTTGGTGGCGCTAGAATGATTCAGTTGGAGACTCCAAATTTGCTATGGTGACAGACAAATTTCATAACTTTCCCCATAAGTGGTTCTATGGGCTGCCATATACTCCCAGAGCGGAAGAAAATGCGGAAGAACATATATATATATATATATATATATATATATATATATAGATAGATAGCATTTCAATGTAAGTGGATAGATAGATAGATAGATAGATAGATAGATAGATAGATAGATAGATAGATAGATAGATAGATAGATAGATAGATAGATAGATAGATAGATAGATAGATAGATAGATAGATAGATAGAAGAAAATACCACACTCTCTAGATCTATTCCTTTTAATTACTTCATTTTATTTATCTTTTTTGACACAAACAAAAGAGAAGTATCAAGTGTTGCAGGAAGAACTTTAGAAACCATAAATCAACTCCAGGCTTTGTCAGCGAACTACTGATTACCTCAGCAAATGATATCCTGTATGTTTCCCTAAGGCGAAGACTTCCCCTTCACTTCTGTCCAAATCCTGAGCTGCAGTCCCTGTGCTTTAGTCGCGCTGTCATTAGGACAAGGTTCTCAGCTCTGTAATGCGCAAGGTTTGTTATGGGCATCTCAGGCTTAAGGACAGGGATCAAAGCTGTCAAAAGCTTCCCAGTCATGTGGGGAAAAAAGCACAGTGGATGAGACTGTGATCATGTGACCTGTCTATGGAAATACACTTGATGTATTATTCTGCACAGACAATATTCTGGCCACTCATTTCACCTTCAAGTGTACACCTGAGTTTACAAAGAAGTTAATAACTTCAATAGTCCAAATAAGAAATCCACGCAAACACATGGGGCCTCCTTTATAAAACACATGTATGATTTGAATGATGATGTATGATGAATTCCTTGATAAGTATGCGATTAATCACGATAAATTGCATAATTATCATTTGCATACTTATCATGGAATTAAGCATACACAAATCATCTTAAGTATGCACTTAATCATGATTAATCGCATATTATTATGGAAATCATGACAGCCCAAAAATAGCCAACCACACATACATTTTGGCACACATAGCACATTGGGATTTAATTCATAACGAGATATTTGTGGGTGTTCTGTGGATTGGACGTAATGTACTTGTACACATTGTGCTTGGATTTAAGGTGAACTGCGATTTATAAAGAGAGAGTAATTTCGTAAAAATCGTTCAACATAGGAATTTATTCTGAAACTGAGGTAATCACATTTAGGATCATTATAATAAATGCGTCTTTAAAAATAAAGCCCCTGGACTCTCATCTAACCACGGTAGCAAAAGTATAAGAATTGGTTGCTTTCTAAACTAAAGCCTTGGGCTATCAAATTAGCTATAGAGAGGAGATTCTCTCACATGGACTTGCTTTAACATGTGGTTGAATGCCTGCCCTACAGAAAAGATCCATTTCTCTGTCTCTTCATTTATGCAGACGGTGCTTTAAGAACAATAAAAACCTGTTTAAGAGTTTGATAGCATATAATAAACAGTGCTGTCAAAAGTAAATCTTAATCGAATTACACAATATCCGAAGCTATAATACAACCTTGTACAAAGATTTTATTTTTAGGGTTTACTAGAATAGGTCTTAACGCTTGAAGGTTTAAAAAAAACATTACTTTTCACATTTTTATTTTGTTGCAGCACCTCTCTTCCCAGTCTGTCAGTAACACTCTGTTTAGTTTCTGTCTCAATGAAGCCCCTCCTTCCGAAAAGCGCAATGTGCTCTGATTGGTCGGCTGGACCAGTGTGTTGTGATTGGTCAACCGCTTCGAGCGTGTTTGAGAAATATCACACCCCTTTACCATAACTGCAAGTTACATGAGTTTCAACGCAAGGTTTAACGCAAGTCAACCAGGTCTTGTCGCTTTTAACTTTGCAGACCTTTTTCATGCTCAAACAGCAACATTACACTAAAGAAAGTTGAAAATGTGAAAAAGCGTTCTCAATCCACTTTGAGATGCTGTGAGAAGTTAAAGTAGTTCAACTTTGAAATTTGTGGCCTGCTTTGCTTTGTTTAGCTTTTATTCAATAGAAACGTGTCCTTTGTGAAAAGCTTCACTCATTCTGTGTTCTCGGTATGGTTTAGTGAGGAATGTTGCCTGTAGTAGCAGTAATAATAGACTTCACAAAAGCATAGATGCAATACTTTAAACATGATTTGCTCTGACAACGCCAAAAAAAAATTTGTGTCGAGGGGCATGATTAAATAAGTGTATCACTTTTTTTTTTTTTTTAAATCACACTAAATTACTGTGGTAATTTGAGAGGTCTAATAATAGGCAAATGAATCTGAAATAGGTACTGTATTCACCATGCGTATGTTTTCCTTCAGGGGCCACATTCTCTTCTATGGGAATGCAGAAGAAAATATCTTTACAGGCTGATAGAAGGAATCTACAGTTTGCTTTGGCAACCTGTAGATGTCAGACCATCAGGACCAGGAGCAAGTGAAAAACTATGCACAGAACACACACAATGACACACACTTAAACAGTCTAACACACATGCTTACAGGAACTATAGTAGTTCTCAGGGACTCTTGCTTAAGCATTATTCAGATGAGATTAGAATTATTAAAAGATGGGTATGTGGTCTGAATTTACACTTGGACACATTTTAAATATATTCAGTGTGTCAGTAAGGATAGGACAAAGTCTCAATGTTTTTTCCATATTGCAACATACATCAAACAGTCAAACGGATTATTGAAAAATTTGTAACAATTTGGTTTTGTTCTATTGTTTGTACAACTGTAAGAAAGGGCGGTGTTTAAGCAGACTAAAAATTGGTGAAGTCTGGCATATGCCACCAGAGAGAAGTCGGCATAATTTAAAACATGAAATTTGAACATGGATAAATTGTTCATATTATGGACAATGAGATGACTTTCCATTTTTGCC